CCTACTATTGTTTTTATCCTTCTTGAGATTAGAATTCCTTTGAGGAAGTTAATTTCCTAAACATTTAGGGTAAATACTCTGATTGAAGCTTGTATTTTCAATTTCCAAATTACTATACTGTCCTCAGGTAAGCACTAGGCCAAGGAAAAACTTTACCCTATTAAGACTGGCAATTTTCATGAGATTTGATTTAAAATCTATTTGAGGCCTTGATATGTACTTGTTTTTGGAAAGTTTCAATTTATTTATTTATTTTGCATTTTAGGGATGGGTCTACAGGGTGTTCAGGGTATCACTACTAGATCGGACTCGTAGTGATCCACCTCTTTACAGCCTCCCAAGAGCTGGGATTACAGCTGGGATTGAACTCCCAAACCCTGCATCCACTTGCAGGTGCTTTAATCCACTGAGCTATTTAGCTGGCCCTTTGGAAAGTTTCAATCATGCAGAAAAGCTGAAAGAGTTGGACTGCGGTACTCAAACACCAACTTTCTGGATTCTATAAGAACAATTCAGCGTATTTTATCACACAACTATCCATGTGTCATCCTTTTATGCAACATTAAAGCATTTTATATTTTTATGCACAAAATAGAATTTTAAACAAATTTAAACATGATATTTTAAAGATATTACTACTTGCCCCAGCACAGCATATATCTATGTTAATAGTGGCTTAAGCAAGCAGGTAAAGGTCCAGAGAGTGGGTAGCAAGCCATAGAGGAAGGCAGGGTCCCACATCACCATAAGGAAATGTTTCGGTATGTTTTCCTTAGAGTCTTTCACAAGTATTTATCTTTTTAACCATCCCACCAAACAATTAATCTATTTTTCTTATAATGTATAGATGCAGAAGAAATATATCATGAATAAAACACATTGTTTTAGGGTCAGAGAGAGAGAGCTCAGTGGTCTAAGCACCTGCCTGGCAAGTGCAAGGTCACAGGTTTGATACCTGGTACTGCATGCCATGCCAGCCCCACAGTGAGCTGGCCACTGAGATACTGGGCGTGGTGGCGCACACCTGTAATCCCAATGCTGGAGAGGCTGAAACAAGAGGATCACTAGGAGCCTGAGCTATGTAGTGAAACCCCATACCAAATAAAGAAAACTTAACATTTCATTTTACACAGAGAAGTTGATCAAATACAGGCACAATAAAAGAAATTGTTCAAGTCAGAAAGAGATTTGGCATGAATCATATTTCTGAGCTTCTTGTATCTGGAATTTTAAATATTCTTAAGATAGATTATAACAAGTAATTTTATGAATTTTTAAAGTTTTCACCTTCTTGCTTATTTCTTTTTGTTTAGAAAAGACATCCGAACACTAAGTAGGAGTTTAACACTTTGAGACTCTTCTTTCCCCAGACATGAAATAGATATAGTCCTATTTTGAACCAACCATAAAATTAAACAAAAGATTGTAATAAATACATCAACTGACTAGCAATAGATGTTTAAAAAATAATAACCATAACTAAGAGTAATTTTCTGTTCAGAATGATTTATGTATTTTTAAAATTAGAACTGTCCTGCTTCAAGGTTGTATATGTTGAGATTTTTGGACTTATGTGTAAACATAAGAAGTGTATAATTCTTTATGCCTATTTTTAAAATATATTCTAATTTTTAAATGTTTTTTCATCACATTATGTAGGGATTTAAAGTTCAACATATCAATACTTGATGAAAAATACCTGTTCCATAGTATGCCTAAAATCTTTGATATGCAGACAGATAGTGAGGTTAAGCTTAACAGCCTAAGTTATATGGTAATAACAATAAGCTTGTCTTCTGGATGGTTAATAACCTAAGTTTGCGGACCAAAATTAGAGAAAAAGGAGGGCCGCAAGGAAAGCCAACATTTTGGCCCTAGCCTTCTAAGGTCAATTAAGACTCAGGAAAAAAAAAAAAAAAAAGACTCAGGGCATATGAGAACTTGTACTGTGATGTCATGTAACTTAGTTGTGTCCCAAATTTTCTGACCAAGGAGATTATGGGGCCAAAGAGGAAAGTGATCGATGAGGTAGAGTGTGCCTAAGGAGAGTCACACGGAGAGAAAACATTCTCTCAGGCTTTCACAGAGAGCACATTGGCCAAGCAATAGCCGTGACTCATACACATGGCTGACACTGACAAACGTTCTACAATTTGAAGTACAGGATTTCAGGATAAATCCTGAGGGTATTTCACTGACCTTATCAGATCCAAAAGGTACAACTCTTGTTGCATAGGTCCTGCTTTACCTTGGTCTTAACCACCCAGCAGAAAAGTATAAAAATGAAATATAAGGAGTAAAGCCATGCTGTTATGTTGAGCTACAGGGGACTCAGGTCAACAATTTCTGACATTGCCAGTGAAACGGAAGACACAATACTATTATGGGCTACTGGACTCTTTTAGAATATTTTGCTGTGTTTACATACCTATAATATTCAAATAACAGAACTGAACAAAAAGAGGGTATACAAATGAATGTCCATTTTGTATCTGTGTATTCAAAGTGGTTAGGATAGATATATAGTTACATTCTCTTAATGAATAGAAGGATTTGTTCTAATGGTGTTTGTAAATAGGAGATCATGTCTGCATCTTGTACAGCAAATAACCACTAGGAAGAGAGTATGCAATGTGTTAATTATTGAAACTGTCCTACCAATTTGATTTGAAACTGTCTCATTGCTATTTATCAATAAAATTATGGAAAAAAATAAAATTAGAGCACCATCCCTTACATAGACAATTGCATGAAAATATCATTATTACAGAGCAAGCATCCTGGAAATAAAAAATATAAAGCCTTGAAGCAAAAGATAAATAAGACTTAAAATATACCTTGGCATTTGGTGATACAAGAAGAATAAAACATTTTTCTATCAAAAAGAATCCATGGATGCCTCCAATTAATCCCAA